GGCCAACACAAAAGGTGGTGGCCCTGTGCCCATGGGCTCCCTGCAACTCCCTACACAAAGGGTGGCAACAAAGACATTTCCTGGGGTGGCAGGTGGTGGTGTCGGGTTCTGCAGACAGTGCACAAGCAGAGAGAGCAGGTAAGGCAGGCACAGGGCAGAGTGGGCAGGGCCTGGCAAGTGGCAGTGCTGGTGTTGGAGGGGCCTGTAGGGTGGTCTCCCATACCCAAAGTAGGTGGCTGGGGAGATCCAAGGAAGCAGCAGGCTTACCTTGCTCAGGTACCATAACAAGACCTCTGTATATTTTAATCTGCAGGGAAAGAGCATAAATCAAATGAATAGGAGCATGCCCTGGCCCCAGCCCAGCTGCTGATCAACACAGTGATAGAAACACATGGATGAGGCAGGCAGACCCTCAAACAGCCCATGGACATCGGGTGGTGCTGACAGCCACATCTCTTCCCAGAGCCCGAGCTTTCCTGACAAATTTGGTCTGAATTATGGTCACAGCCTAAAAAGATGCATTTAGAACTCAAAGGATGACCTGGAAAAATCACCGAAAGCCCTGGGCACGTCTCCAAGTTTCCCTGGTGTCCCTGGGACCCTGGTATCCTGGGACAGAGCTCTGACCAAGCCACCTCTCCAGGCCAAGAGTGGGCTTTAAAATGCCAAAGCAGGACAGAAGGTTTCTGCATTGTACGTAGTCTGTCAGTTCAATCCTAGTGTCCCTTGCCATGGCACAGTCCCCAGGGAGGGGATGCAACATACTGTGTGAGGAAGGTGATCCTGTGGTGGTGAAGTCGGATTGTGAGCTCACTCTCTTACATCCAGGGGAGCAGGGTCTCAGTGTCTCTACACTGTGTGACAGGTGTCCCCTCCCCAACCCCTCCACACTATGTCCTTGTGGGGTTCCTCATCTGATGTACCTCCTTTCTGGTAGTAGCATCTCAATCCAACAGCCCAAACCTCCTGAATGCAGTGTCACCAGACCACCACAAAGGTCTGGACGAAAGACACTGATCCATGACATGGGCCTCTGTTCGCATGGTCACATCTGAAAACTTGGGTTTTCTTTGGCCTCTGGGCTGAGGCTGGCAAAGGGCCAGACTGAGTTCCAGCTATGGTCCAGGACGCCAGCAGGAGGAGCCCAGTCTCAGCAGGGTCTCTGGAGGGAACTCACACCTCTGTGAAGACACATTTTCTAATCTACTGATGAGAACTCACCAGCACCACCCCTGAAGGAAGATTATGTGGGGTTAGAAATTCCAGTAATAAGGGATCCTGGATAACCCAGGGGAATTTTGTGTCTACTGACTGGTGTCAACAATGCAGAACGCTGCTCTGCATGGCACAAACAGCTCTGGACTGGAGCTAGTGGCAGAAGCAGACTCGATATCCTTGGATGATGGGTCCCCGAGGTCCTCCAAGGGAGGGGCCTTGGCATGCTTCAGATACCCTCCCAAGTGCGAAAGGGCTGCTGGGACCAGGGCCTCCTTGACCTCCCTCTCTGTAGCCTTGGCCTGGTTCTGCTGTGTGCCCAGGCCCTGATTGGTGGACACCAAGAAAGCAGATGGCGCGCTAACAATGGAGGACTTGTTTGTAATTGCTGATGAGGATGGGCCCGCTCCTCTCCCAAGCATCCCCAGACACAGCCTGGTGTGGTGTGCTGGGCCACAAAGAAGGGCTCAGCAACTGTCAGGCCACGGCTGAGGACAGAGATGCAAGGCAGTGGCAGCTGGGGCTCCAGTGTCACCTGGCCTTGACACGCAGCCAGTGTTTCCACAGGGTAGGGTTCCAGGCACTGGGACAGGAGGGGGTGGTCAGCTCCTGGCACATCCCTGGGGGTCAGTCAATGCAAGGCTGCAACTACCCTGCACACCATTGGAGATGCTGAAGGGAAGATGCCAGAGGCATGTGGCACCCTGGGACAGGCTAGAGTCACCAAGCTTCATCTTTTCATCAGCTGGGCACCAAATAACGTGCCAGGTACAGGTGTAGTCTCTGGGCTGTTGCTGCAAATGAAGTAGGCATCAGCTCTACTTTGGGCTCTGGTGGATGGTGAGGAGTTATACACGCAGCTCAGGCAAAAATGTCTTTCTGCTTAAATGTATAAATACAGACTCAAGAACTATAAATAAACACAGTATTTCATGGTGCTCCAGGCAAAGGGGACACGATAGGAAAAAACTGTGTCTTGATAGGCTCCAGAGTGGGTGTTAATGGGAAAAACAAAGTCAAGAGACACTGGGTTGCAAGGTTGTGTGTGTACTGAAGGTGAAGTCACTCTTAAACCTGGTGTTAGGTGTTAGGAATGGCAGGGAGAATCCAACAGTTTCACTCTGACACCCAACCCATCTGAGGCCAGGCAGCAGCTCAGACATATAGTGCCTGGAAGATCCAGTCATTTTTTAAAGAAAAATTTTTCAGTCTCCTCAGGCCTTGTGTGATGCCTTTGATCCTCTGGATTTATAGAAACCCAGGGAACAATGGCCTGGTGGAGATGGGCTGTGTTCTCGAGGCTCTGCCTAGCAGGTGCTGAGACTCGTGTGTCTTTCTGGGTGATTTTTCTCCAGCTGCACTCACTAGAACAGTAGAGGAGCAAGGTAAGAAGTGAGCATCCTATTTTGGAGGAAAGCTGCAACCAGGACGGCCATTTGGGATGATGCTGGGCAGGGTCAGACAGGAGTGTGGAATGTGACACACTGGTTTGGGGTAATCAGGAAGGACACTGACGTGGAGGGTTGGCACAGGCATGGAAAGGCATAGCAACCAAGGCTGCAGCTTTTGCAAGTGCTAACTGTCCTAGCAGCAGGAAGGCAGACAGAGCAGGATTAGAGCTGCCCAAGATATTCAGACCCTTGGAATGGCTCGAGGAAGGAACAGGTGCAGTCAGTGGTGGGTGAGCCTGCACTAGTGGCCCCACTGGCAATCCAGGGCCAGCGGGGATGCACCAGCTTAATTAACATCTCCAAATGGCCCGAGGATGGTTTCCAGTGCTTCCTGTCCAACAGTGGTGGCTTGTGCTGGCCTGGCCCTGGCTCTGGGCTTGTTTTCCTGTTTGGTCGCTGGTCCTGTCCATCAACTCTAGTTCCACGGCAGAAAGCTAGGACAGCTGGACCACCAGGAAGGGAGTGGGGGGCAGGTGATGGCCTCTGTGTGTGTGTGTGTGTGCGCGCGTGCCAGTGCAGGGCTGAGAGCAGTGGGACACTCACAGGAAAACATTTCTGCATTTTTTCTTTTCCCCAACTGTAACGTACTTTTAAGATGTATGACTAAATCTGAGCCAGGCATGGTGGCACATTCCTATCATCTTAGCACTTAGAAGGCTGAAGCAGGAAAATTGCTACAAATTTGAGCCCGCCTGGGATACACAGTGAGTTCAAGGCGCCTGAACTACATAGTGAGACCCTGTCTCAAAAAGCCAAAAAGATGGGCTGGGGATTTAGCTCAGTGGTTCTGCTGCCTGCCTCACAAGCGCAAGGTCCCAAGTTCGATCCCTGGTACGAAAAACAAAACAAAACAAAACAAAAACCAAAAAAGAGCTATGACTAAATTATACATTTAAATTAATATCTTACTGCCAACCTTCTTGGTAGACCACCATGGAGAGGTCTGTAGACCCTCTTGGATCACACAGAACATGAGTACCAAGTTTTCAGTTCTGTGGCCATGGTAGGTACCAATGTCACTGGACTGAAGCCACCGCAGCAAGCAGCAGGATGGTGCCTGGTGTGCCTGGCAGCAATGTGCCCAACCGCCCCAAGGTGGAGGCAATATACCAATGTCCCTCGCAGATGGATGGACAACGTATGACACTTGCTGCCACATGGGTGAGCCTTGGGAAAATGCTAGGGGACAGCAGCGGTCACCAAGGTCATAGGCTGCACAATTCTACTCATATGAAATGCCCAGAATAGGTGGATCAAGGAGACAAAAGCAGATTCATATTGGCCTAAGATTTGGGGTGGCTGGGAGGAAAGAGGTTGAGTAGGGCTGGGTGTTTTTTGTTCTTAAAGGGATGGAAATGCTCTAGAAGGAGATGGGTGAAAGCAGCAGAGTCTTTTTTTTTTTTTTGCAGCAGAGTCTTTTGACGCACACTGGTGTGTGTCACTCACAGGTCTGTTTCCTGGTTCTCACCCCATAGCTCTCCAGAAAAGCATTGGGTAAAATATCTTCCTTCTTTCCACCCGAAGACTTCAATGCCAGGGAAGAGCTTTGGTGTGCCTTCTCCTTTGGTTTGCTGGTTGCCAAACAGAAATGTAAGCAAAACTATTGCGTCTTCCAGGAACCCCAGTAGCTGAGGTACACACGGACCACCTTCAGGGCCCTGCAACACAGGGCTACCATGCGGCTCACAAGGATTGTGAACTGGGCATCAGAAGCCTGGGTTCTCCTAAACTCTCAAGATTATTTCAAAAAAGCTTTAATTAAGGCTCATTTCCAAAAACTATCTCCGAGAAAAATTCCTGGTACCTACAGCCATCTCCTGGCAACTGCTCTGGTGTCCCTAGAGCTGTAATTAGCAGCTGTGTGGGAGGAAGATGCCAGCTGCCCTACCGCCCTGCATGGCTGGGACCAGGACTGTGGACACAGCGATGACAGGGCTGCAGCACCTTCCAGCGCACCCTGGAAGCAGGTGTGAGCACGACCTGGCCCCTTCTTGTACTGGGACTATGTGCACTTCAACCTCAGCCCAGCCCAGGCCAGAGATTGAGGCAGCTCCAGCAGGCAGTTTCCTGATCCCTGCTCCCCCTGCACACACACTCCCTATCCTCCCCTCTCTCTCTTTTTCCAGTGCTGGAGATTGAATCTAGGGTCTTTGTACTAAGCATACCCAGCCCCATTTTTTTTTTTTGATACCAGGGATCGAACTCAGGACCTTGCACTTGCAAGGCAGGTGTGGTGCCACCGAGCCAAATCCCCGGCCCTCCCCAGTCCCATTTTAATTTTTATTTTGAAACAGGGTCTTGCTAAGTAGCAGAGTTCCCTAGGCTAGGCTTGAATTTCTAATTTTCCTGCCTCAGCCTTTCTGAGTGCTGGGATCACAGGCAATCTCTATGTTGCTTGATTTCCTATCTTCCTCTTATTCTTCTTGTCCGTGGGCCTCCAGGTCTGAGGCATCTTGGTTCTTGGCCAACATGGAAAAGTTCAAATCCACTGGCAGGATGCCTGGTGGACTGCCTCATACACATGGGTCACGGGTTACAGGCAGGTGGCACAAACCCTCTGAGGGGACCTCCACCCAGCTCATCCAAGCCACTGTCACTTGTAGTTATGGCTGCAGCTACCTGATCTGGTCTGATTAATAAGTAACCCAATAGCTCATGAGTATCTGCTCATATCTCCAATAAGACTTCCTTCTCCACAGGCCTGCACAAGGTCCCCAGAGCCTTCTGTGTTGCCTCAAGTCCCAAGCCCTGTCCTGCTCACTGGCAGCAGCGGACATGAGGGAGGCCGACTCAGAGACAAGTAGCAGCATTGTATGGCTGCTAATCATGTGGTAAAAGTGTTTGTCTCAGTTCTGTTTATCTCGCAGACCTGACCCAGAGGACAGTGAGTTTTAAAAGGATGAAAGGATGAATAACCATGAGGCAGAACACGGTGCTAAACAAGGCCATGGAAACCCTCTTTCACCCCAATACCATATGTGGAAGCATCTCAAATCAAGTTTCACTTATTCACAACCTTGTGTTATCCAGGCTGTGGATTGCCAGGCTGCCCACATTGGGTTTGGACATGTTGCTCATCACTGGCCCACTTTCTCCAAGAGATAGGGAGGGGAGGGGACAGAGGACACGTAATTACAGGTGTTTGCTCTGGCCCCATGAATCTGTGGTCTGGAGACACACCTGTACCACTTTAAGCAACAGCTACTCCTTTCTTTGTCACTCCAGCTGTGCGTGTTGTATGAAAGAAATGACATGAATCATTCTCTGAAGAATCTGCAGACCATATGGGGAGAGGACACACAGTGGGGTAAAGACTCAGATCCACAAAGAGGAACCAAGACAGAAGAATGGTGTGCTCAACTTATGACAGAGTTACACAAGCCTGCCATACGTGGAAAAATCATTACATTGAAAATGCAAGAATTCCAGGGTACAATAGGGCTAAGCAGTGGGATTAGGGTGGGTAAAAACTTTCTATCAATGCTTTGTTATCTTTTCAAGAACAAAGCAAAAGCAGCCATAACTGAGCTTGATACGTACAGGGAACACTCAGGCTGGGGCCTGAGTAGGCAGGGCTTCCTGGGTAGAGGAGATCCTGTGGAGTGTTGAGCTGTCTGCAGGGTTGTTGGGGACATTGGTCAGTGATAGCTATGTGGGCTGAGGTGCAAGTGGCTAGGCTGTGAGTTCTTGAACAGATGGTGACGTAAGAGACCTTGTATTTAAGGAAAAGGTCCGGGTTTTCTGAATGAAGTCCTCCAATTCAATCCTGGCCTTTATTATGAATAAGAAGCCAGTAGCCAGGGCTCTGATCATGGGACTGGTCCCCAGGGTGGGAAGAGGGTTGCCCAGGAACCTTGGCTGTCCCTTCATGGCTTGGTCTTGAGCTTGGTCTGTCAGTGTGAAGGGGCGAGGCCTGATGTTTCCTGGGGTCCCTTCCAGCTCCTCGGTTCGTGACGTTTCAGCACTGTTATGAGGAAGTGGTAATATGAGCTGTGTAGCTGAGCCCCTCCACCTCTGTCATGGTCATGTGAACAGGGAGAGATGAAGGGAGTGGGTGGGGATAAGCCCTGAAGGAATCTCAAGTGCCATGATGGGAACTGGTCTTGGAGATCAGGGTGAGGGTTTGTCTTGTCTGTTTCTGGGGTTTAGCTGATTATTAACTGCCCAGGGACAGAGCCAACAGGATGGGCCTGTCAGGACCAATGGGTACAAGGACAGGCCTACTGTATCCCGGGTCCAACAGCAGTATCGGTGTGGAGGGCTTGGCAGGCAAGGGTGGTGTTAGTGCAACCATTCCAGCAGAGGCTGCTGAGAACTAACCTGTGCCACACCAACATCCCACACTTGCTTTGGGCCAATGTGTGACATAGGTGCTTCTGTCTACAGTTTTTCTCTCCCTTTCTTTCTTTCTTTTTTTTTGCAGTACTGGAGGTCAGATCCAGAGCTTTCATGCTGGGATACAGCTCCAGTCCTTTTGTATTTTTTATTTTGAGACAGGATCTCAAAGTTGCTAAGTTGCCCAGGTTGGGCTTGAATTTGTGATCCTCCTGCCTCAGCCTCTTAGGATACTGGGATTACAGTATGCCTGGCTCTGTTTGCAGCTTTGTGAGATTTTACTGGCCACCAAAACACCCCAGTGACACTGGGCGGACTCTTTGGTAAAGTTTTGCAAATTTTAGAATATTCTGCTGTAGGTAAGAATCATAGCAGCCTCACCTATGAGGCAGATGAATATAATTATCCTTCTCGAGACACCCGGTGCAGGTGGGGAAAGACAGAAGTCTGCACTTGGGGACAATGGAAGAGTGGCAGCAGCATCCTAAGACCAACTCAAGACTAATCTGCTTTAAGCTCCAAATGCAACCTGCACTAACATGGCCGAATTAGATGGGGCAGGAGAGGCTCGGAATCCTGGGGGCCCTGTGAATGAACCTACACAGGGGGAAGCACTGCCCACTGGGCCCTGGAAAACATCAACTGTGGTATTTACAGGGTCTCGCAAGCAAACAAAAGCTGTGCTCCCCCTGCTGGCCCTGGACAGCAGTGCTGAGGTCGGGAGGTGCCCTAGACAGTGCTGGCATCTGTGCAACGGCAGGGCAGACGGGTGCACTGAGCAGAGCCTCTTTGACATGGTTTTAGACATTCCTTGGGGCAAACATCCATTGTCACCAACTTCCAATCAAGGTACTGGAAATTCTTGAATTAGGGACCAAATGAGATATCCTTATACTCCATGACCACCAAACTGCCAGCTGCGACTGTAACGATGATTAGGGATTCATTTTCAACAGACACAGTGGGGTCCTCCCAGATTTTGAGGCCCAGATGCAATCTTTAAATCAGTTCTGGAAAAAAATAACTCAAGTCCAAGTGAAAGTTTCTTTTTCTCTCTTTGTTCTATAAGAACAGTTTGCGAAAGGTAAAGATGTACGCTGTTTGCATCCTTTCTGATCTTGTTGAGCATTACACTGGATTCTCCCAGTCATTAGCATGCAGAAGAATGACCTCATGGTGAACAGATGCACTTGGCTGTGAGCTGACCGGGTGACATCAGTCCCTCCCTGCCATGCAGGGTGCCGAGTGTTAACCCTTCGCAAGCCGCTCTGCTGCCCCCTTCCTCAGCGACACTTGCAAACACACACCCTTTACCTGATGCCCACAGGTGTGTGGGTTAAATGCACACAGATCATACAGATGTTAATGGAAAACAGCATTTTAACACTGGTTACCTTTTAGATTATTTATTCCTGGTCAGTAAGGGATGGAATCAATAAAGTAGGCAAAGTACAAGGCTAGGTAAAAAAGGAGCTCAAGCACCTACTGTAGGCTGGGGGTCCTCAATACAGATAATAGATGGAACAGATGCAAGGTTGTTGTTTTAAAACAACATTTTCTCATTTGGAAAATGGGTGCTTCTTTTTAAAGCCCCTTGACAAACTTGGGCCCCTGAGTGCTAACTCTGCCTATCTATCCATTGTCGACAGTGCCAAGGACAGTGCACACTTAACCCCCTGCCCAGGTGCCCTGGGTGCAGGAGCAGAAACTCCAGGCATGGGTCACTGCCAAGCAATGTTCTCTCTGGGCACAACTGGGCCTGCAAAGACTGCTGGGGCTTCTCTACTGAGGGAGGCTGCCCACTGGCTTGTGCCACACATGCAGTACGGAGTGGGCACAGTGTTCAGGTGACCCCTCTTCCTTTAGGACAAAGCCCTTGTCATGAGGATGCACCAAGAACCCAGAGCCCCTTGCTCCTCAAACTGTGCTCATGCCTGTAAGCAGGAGCTGAGGCCCTGCTTTGGTGACACTGAGGCTGAGGGAAGTCTGACTGGGGCCCAAGTGCATGGTGGGAGCTCGAGGGGTGAGGGATCAATTTTTCCAGTTGGCTTGTTGCTTGGGAGAGCAGGCGCACTGTACCTCAACGTCTTAGTTTACACTGGCTGGCTCATCAGGGTTTGACTGTACTTGTCCTAGGAGAATAAAAGACCCAGGAAATAAACGAAATAGTATTCTCATCTGTATACATGAAGAGAGGAAGCGGTTGTGAGAGAGGCCTGTGTGCCATGCTGAGATGCCCTGCCTTGCTCGGGCACTCACATTTCAGCTCCAACCAAGTCTACTCCTAGTTCATTCCTAATCACTAAGGGCAACTACGCAAAGTGTTAAGAGAACATCATGCCCACCTTTAGAGTCACTCTCAAGGACAGGTTCGACACGTATGTAAAATATTGTATCATTCAATACTGAATCCTAGCATTATACTGTTAATTTAAGAAAAGGAAAAGTTAGCATTGGGTTTGATATCTCATGTTTGGTTTCATGTTCCTTTAATAAACGTTCCAATGCTCACCCTTATAATTTGGTCAGAACCTTTATTATGTTAAGTAAGAATATCAACAATCTTATCCAACTGGAGGTTACAGAACCTCAACTTTCTCCTGCAGTCTCACTCACTACGGCACTACACACTGACTCATATAAATGAATTTAAACAATTATGAACTTTGGAAAAGATCAAAGTACTTTATTTGCAGGCTAACATTATATATATAATTATTATATAGTTTATATATATATGAAATAGAGCCCCTCATTATTTCTAAAACATCTTAACAACCTTAAGATTATAACAGTTGAGTTAAGGAATGTAAACCTCTAGGTATCATTTAGTTTTTTCCTTCAATTTTGAGAAATAAAATGCTTTCTTCAGGGTTAAAAAAAAAAAAACCTGCACCAAAAAATCAAGTTCCAGTATCCATGAGGATGGGAAAAATCTGAATGAGATCTTTAAAAAATGAGCTTGCTACAGATCCTTCTTATTCTTTCAGGGAAAAATTAGAAACCGTTTTAAACCTCTAGCCAGACTGAGTATGAAATCTTCATTTCCCCTGACACAGATTTTTTTGTCTTAGAATATTGGCAGAGTGTATAAAAGAATTCAATTCACAGCTGTTCTACTTTTTAATGTAAGAAACATTAATCAAAGCTTGAAGTCATAAGCTTTTCTCGTGTTGTTTAGTATTCCAGTTCAACAGAGATCAATAGAGGCCATCCCTGTGTTCCTGACGCCTCCCCAGGAAGCAGCGCGATTATGTAAATCGCCTTCCACCTCTGCCAGGCTGCTTATCTCCCGAGCCTTCTGCCTGCTGCTCCTGGCTCCCTGGCCAGCACAGGCCTCTCCTCTTATCTCCACACAAAGCTCGGAGGCCAGGACTGAAGCCAGCGATGTTAAACAATGATGCATGGCTGATTTTATTTGGAAGTGATTTATTTCAGTGAATTTAATTTTTTTCACTTCGTGTGTAAGATATTTGTTAACAAGTCAGGATGGGAGAAGGAAGGCAGTGTTTGGAGACAATCGACCCAGGTTAGAAATCTATTAGCACTCTCAGTCCTGTGGAAACGGGGAAGATGAAGGAGGATTTTAACACGTGTTGACTAAATATCCCCTTTACTCTCTGAAAGGCAATTAATCTGTAACTACATGCAGAAATTCGCAAGGAATAATTTTATTCTTTGAAAAACACACAGTAATCATATCATCAGTTTAAGTGGCAGTGCACTTTTTTTTTCCAAATTGGAAATAGAAAAAGAATAAGTGCCTAAAAACAAGAAAACCCATGGAAATGTTTGCAATTTTCCGCTGGCCTAATAAATGACAATGAGTAGAAGTCAGGGTCTAAACGGGCTCTACACCAGGTGCTGCTCGGCTGGCGGCTTGTCCGCATGACACTGGCCACTCCACAGAGAAGTGTGCACACCACGACGGTAATGATGGGCCTGGGGACACTGTCCTTCCATGTCTCCCGAGTTAATCCCTGACCCCGGTATCTCGGCAGCATAATCCCCATTTAGCATTAGTAGCAACGGCTTCGACTGTGAGGAACTCCTTTTTGATAAGTAAGCACTGATTCAGGAATCGCTTTTAAACAACATATTCCCATCTCAGCAAGAAGCCCACACTGCTGAATGAACTGAGGCACATTACTGAGAAAAAGTTCATTAACCTTGCTAGATTTGGGGGTTAACAGGATAGGTGAAGAAAGGAATAGAGCGAACAGCTCGGATACAAAACAAATTAAAATGAATGTCATCATTCCTTTTGATAGTCATTAGTTGATTCAGAAGGAAAATGCTCTTCTTAAATTTGCAAGCATTTATCTGTGAAAAACAGGTGTACGTCTGCTACTTGAATTCGTCCTAACCAAGAGAGGAAAATAATGCAGACACTCACCCGTTCCGCTGAGGGAATAGCTGGGCGAGGGGGAGAAGACTTGAGCTGCAAAATCCTCGAATGTCATGACTTCGCGATGGTTCTGAATTATTGCTTCAAGATACAGTGCTCGTTCTTCATAGCTGCAGCCGCCAGTTAAGGAGACAAACACAAGTGCAACATGGCATGCAGAGCAGTGGCCATCCATTTTGTTTAATATAGTTATGCAACTTTTATGTCTGCATGCAAAAGACAGCATCCTGAAAGTTCTGTAGTATTTTGTCAGAAAATTAACTATTAATCATCATAATAAGATTCTGCTGCTGAAACCTAAGTTTCTCTTAGAGATCAAGTGCATTCAACACTAGCATTACCAAAAAAATATGCAAGCCAATAGTTACAGGATAACACCAAAGCATCATTAAGGTTGATTTAAGTAAATAAAAACAAAAGTTGTGGATGGGATGATGTCTCTTTCAACCGGCAAGTGTGCGACAACCGCATCTTTACTTCCTATTTGGGGGAAAACCACTTTTCTCAGAGTACTGACATCATGAACTGACCCTTCAAGCGAGAACTGATGATACAAGGGCAAACACACCTTTAAAAAAAATAAGGAAATGCAAGTTACTGAGAGGAGACCAGGGCAGAGGTGTACTTGGAAAGGGCATCAGAGACTCCAACCAAGAGAAACTATGAGAAGTAGAAGAACTAATATGTAGGAGAATCTAAGAAGACTGCATAATGCATTTAGAAAAAAAAAAAAAGACTATTGGCTCCTAATTAAAACTGCAGTCTGGAACACACAGCATTCGAATGTGTAATCAAAAACCAGTCACCAATAAAACTTACAAGCGTAACACGCTGAAGCAACTTTCCAGCTGTCTTAATAGGACCCCTGCGTGTGGCAGCCTTTCACAGGGTAGAAAGCAAATCTTCGCCTTTTGTGTGTGGCTTCTGTTTCCTGGGAAGGTGACTCATGCACTTCTAACACCAGGGTAACAACAGAACAACTGACAATGGATGGCAGCAGCACATAAGACTTCACAAATTAACACTGGGGAGGTTGGTGTGATGTCTCACTTCCCCCTTCCCCATTACCAAAGCCAAAGTTAAAAGACATGTTGCAGTCAGTTTGAAAACTGGGCTGATTTTCCAGGAACACTGAGAATGAGAGCCACCCCTTAATCTGTTACTTGCAAGTAATTCTAGCATTTCTTACTGTCCCTTAAAACTATCTTTTCAAAATGGCCTCTTGAAAAATATAAGTTGGTGACTTGTCCTTTCAATGGAGCCTGTACTTTAAAATAGGTAGATGTTTGTCTATTTTCTTTTAACAAAGTAGGTACACTGATTTCCAGATGTAGGCTTTTCCTCCGCCTCCTCTCATATGTGTTCAGAGGATGACTTCATACCTTGGGTGACCAGAGCAATCTAGAGAGCCACATGTCACATGCAGCTATCTATATTTAAATTTTAATTAATTAAAAATTTAAAACTTGGTTCTTCTGCCTTACTTGCTGTATTTCAAGTGCTCAGCACTGTGCCAGGCCAGGGGTTGTAGGATTGGTGGCACAGAATAGAGGACAGGCCTATCATCACGGAAAGCAACACTATCACAGGCCAGGGATCCTTCTCAATCTTGCTGGATGCAACTAAACAAAATGTAACATGGCGAACATGGGCATGAAGAGTTCAGAAGTGGCCCCATGATGATTTATGATCTTTTCTATAGACAGAGGCCTGGGCAGCCTGCACCCGGCCGGCTCCACGGCTGAGGCTGAACTCCTGGTGACTTGCCTTAATGAACAGCCTGCCAAACTTCCTCAGCATGCGGTGCCTGCTCAGGCCCAATTCTAGGGGGACCCACTAATGCCATTCATGTCTCATTATGAACATGCTTATTCTGCACAGCACTTGGCTGTTGCTGTGGCTCGGCCTTCCGAGCACGGCCCCAGCAAGCCGCTGGTCGGGGAACAGCAGGATGTTAGGCCTGAGTGGCCGTCTGGCGAACAGGCACTCTGACAGTAAGCTGGCACGTGCTGGCCCAGCAGGGGCCGAGCGAGGCGTGACAAATTACTCAAAGAGCTGAGCTAAACTTACGGCTGACAACCACCTGAGCCTTTGGACCGCCATGGCCCGCTGTCAACACTCAATTCATGGCTCCCCCTTTCAGCCCACAGTCTGCCCATGGGCCTGGGCTCGAACAGGAGCGACACTCAAAGACCTGTCATGCTCTGCCTCTCTAGCTCATAGTCAAATCTACAGAGGGGTGTTGTGCGTGATGCCACAGAGACAGCTTAGACAGTGGCCCATCATCCCTGAATGATACGCTCCCACTGGCACAAGCTGGTCCCTGTCAGGCCCAGAGGGCTGTGCTCTCTGGAGGAAGTCCTGCATTAATGGTCACAGGAGGCAATCACCAAGTTCTGAGAGCCTCTGATTCCTAAACTAAGGCTCCATGGCAGCCACAAAAGAAGGAGGAGGTGCTCAGTTTGCAGAAGCATCTCAGTCTTGCCATTTATGCCCTGGCCTGTCACATGCAGCATGCACCCCAACTGCGTGCTAATGGCGCTAGACTGGGTTTTGTCATTTAGACAAACAGCCATTAGGGGTTGGGGTGAGAGCGGGAGCTCATCAGAATTGCCTGGATCAGGGCATGTAAGCACCGTGACAAAGAGAAACAAATATCAACCTCTGGCAGCGTTCAGACACAGACAAGGAACTGATGGGTGCCAAAAATCATTTCCGAGTAGCCTTACAAAATGCAGCCTTGGGATCATGACAGAATCTATTAGAACCAGCAGCCAGGGCCATTTGGAGCAGTGTTGTGGGACGTTTTCTTCCCTAACATCCTTAGGGCTTTGGTGCTGGCTGCTCTCTGTAAAGAAGGACATTATAAGTCGAATATCAGGACTCATGTAAGGTTCACCTTGTCCATAAGACATGTTCAAATGTGAATACTGAGCTAACACCCAGCACTGGATGGTCAAAGACCTCTGCCTAAGCAGGTGGCAAAGGAGGCCCTGGACACAGATCGGACCCCCTTTTCAATACCAGCTTCTGCTCTTTCGTTCTCTTAAAGAACCCAGGAGCAACTGTGCAACTTTACCCTGCTCTGTATCACCATCTCACTAAAAAAAGTAAAATACTTTTAAAAGGAGTTTTCTTTTTCATTACCGAATTCAGAAAACATTCAAATCATCAAATAGAAATCACCTTGGTAGTTTTGAATTTTGTTAGTGACACTGTCCATATGTACTTTATCAGTGGTTAACATTTCTCTACAAGACTTCAGAGGCTCTGTGTCCGCACAGGTTATATTTTACCAAAAACTTCTGAGAGAACTTTCTGAGACCCTCAGTGCATGCTCTGCTACTCTGCTGGGTGTGATAGCATGAGGCTCAAACCTGTTCTCCCAATTTTACTCTGATTATTATTTTTTAAAAATGACAGCAACAGCATGACAGGAAGAAGCTATATTTTGGTGGGAGAAAGGCCTGGGTTTTAATTCTGGCCCTTTTCCCACCAGATGGAGTATGGGCAAACCCCTTCAATGCCCAGGGGAAACCTGTCAGCAAACCTTTTCAAAACATCCTCCTACACTGGGCAAGCTTATGGTCTCCACCTCACTGAGAGGAAGTGGAGCTCAGAGTCCAAGAGATTCCCTAGGGTCCCAGTTAGTCCCTGGAGGAACTGACACAAGAACTCAGTAACCTTTACTGCTTCTGGCAAAGAGAACCTAGAGTACACAGGGTTAAGTTCAAGGTCTCATGCAAAGCTGGAGCTACCCACCAAAGAATGGAACAGACTTAAATCTATGTGGGCTGTAAATATCAACCTGCAACTTAAACTTGACTACCTATGTTTAAGGTGCATCTCTACCATTGCCGACTTCATAAAGTACAGAGAATCCAGCAGTTACTCCACCTGCATCTCTCTTTAGCTATTCAGGCTATGCACTGGTTGCCTGTTGTTATGCATCTCAACCTTCTGTCCTGGAATGACCTGAGAACTCTATCTTGGAGTATGTTTTGTCAAAGAAGAAAAGAATAGTTTGGAAGAGGCAATATTGTATGCTGCAGTATTTTCAACCCTTGAAATCTGTTGCCTGGGCCGTCTCTAAATTTTTCAAGGTTGGACAGGATTCGAGATGGCAAAGTGGCCTCAGAGGAAGGCACCATCCTGATGTTGAGGTGTGTGTATTGTACCCATTTATGCATGAATTGCTTGCTTTCTCTCCTAACCCTTGCAGCTCCATTTCTAACACTAGCAAACCCACAGTGAGCTGTCCTCATGATACCATTTAGCACACTGTACTTGAGGACACTGTAGGAGTCAGGCTCATTCTTATGGTACTCATTCTCGGCAGCTTACAGAACTCTGCACAGTACATTATTTTCCTAGTGGATAAATGAATGCCTAGGATTTGTGCCTACCTCTTTGGGTCATAAGACCCCCTAGATATATTCTAGGTAAAGGCAACTTGCAAGGAAAGATTGGAGAGTTTTTAATTTGAAGTGAAATTCTGCATAGAAAACAAAATAAGTGACATAAAACTTTTAGAAGAATGTATGAGAAAACTCTTTACCACTCTGGGGTGTGGAAAGATTCATCCAACAAGAAACCAAAACCAGGAATGATGAGGAAGAAGACTGGTTCATATGACCCATTTCACATGATGTTCTATCATTTCTCACAACCATGAAGAGAAAAGATGGTGGAATAAAGAGGAAACAGAGGGCAGATGCTTGGAATATAAAAAGAACACCTACAGGTTCACAAGAAAAAGACAAGTAATTTATGAGAAAAACTGGAAAAAGACAGGCATGTACAGCAGCTAAACTACGAATGGCCAGTCACATGCTCTACTGCATTAATAATCAGAGGTTATTAGACCCAGGAGATGCTGATATCACATGTCCCAGACCGGCAAGCACACAGCATGAACCAATGCCTGATGTCAGCAGGACATGGGCCACAGGACTCTCAGGACCTACTGATAGGAGGCAATTAGACATCATTACTCGGCAAGCACAGAGGCATAAGCTCCCAGGCCATCAATTCCAATCCTTGATATGTGAACTGCTACACATGTGTGCTTGTTGAAGTAAGTTTATAACGTTTTATAGAAAAAGGAGCA